GTGTAAACATAAACGAGAACATAGGCATGTAGAGCTTTAGTGGTCGACATTCTCCCTACCACCTTTTCCATATTAATAAGGTCCGATGTTTTCCTATACCTTAGGAATCTTCCCTTGAGATGCCCTCTGAATCAACACCTCGGCACCCTCATAATTGTCTCACTTCTAGCAGGGACATGTTCTGTATCCACTTGAAATAGGCTTGCTGCTGTCCCCGTTCATAGTATCTTTAGTGGGATTTCTACCTCCTCTCTAAGCATACCTGGACTGCCATGTTAGAACAATGTTAGTGTGGCAGCTTCAATGTTATTGTTAGCAAAGATATTTTTTATTCTGCAGGCATGTAAGGACAAAAGTGTAAGGATGACAAAGAAGAAGAGTGGTCAGAGAGCCTATGACAACAAAAGTCTTTGCAGATCTTTTCTGCTTTTCTGTTGTTTGCTGTCCTTTGTACTCTTTCATCCTTAGATTCCCTCAGGATGATCTTATTTAACTAACCACAAGGACCAGAGTACTATACTCGTTCTCTGTTCTGAACTTAGGTATGGGTTCAGTCCTGGGGTAACCTGGCTTCCAATAAGAGGCTACTTGAGTCCATTTTTCCACACTCATTATCTCATTAAACCCTCATGCACAAATTTGCTTATAGCTTAGGTTATAGTTCATGTCTAGCATTTTCCTAAAAAGAGAGGAAGAGAAAAGTAGGCAATGTACAATATGAATCAGATATTGGATGGGTATTTATTTCCTACACACCAAAGGGATGTAAATATAGAACATTCACAAGGGTGTGTTTGATAAAAAAAAAAAAAACTTTAAAGAACAGGATTTGTAATGACTTATAAATCCTGTTAAAAATTTGTGAGGAATCTGATATGTAAATCTCATCCGAACTTAAGGTAGTTTATAGAACGTGTTTTACGTTTTACATTAGGTGTTTTACATTTCGCCTCTGCTCTGTAGTGTTCCAACACCTGGTAAAATGGCCAGGATTGGGCAGGTGGCCATCCTCTCCAAGAAGACAACCGTCATTGCTAGGAGCTGCCACCATTCAGTTCTTACTTGTTAGGACTCAGACCGTCTGGACTTCTTCGAGGTGACCCCCCAAGCCTCAACACAGCCATCTCAGAAGGAGGAAACTTGGAGATCATCTAGTCTCATTCTACAGAGGAGGAAACTGAGGTAAGGCCACAATGGCATAGCTGCTGAGGGCCTGGGGTCACTGGCTCCATGCATGACCATGCATGACAAAACACCTAAGAAGGACCTTCCAGGGTGGTGCACATGTCATCTCCCCCTTTTCACACATGCTCAGAGAAGTAGTAGAAAGAGCTCTAGACTTGGAATCGGATAATCTGAGTTCAAATCTTGGCCCTGCCTCAGTTTCCTCCATTATAAAATGAGAAGATCTCTAAGGTCCCTAACTACTCTAGAATCTTGGTCTTAAGTGACTTTCTTGGTAACAAAAGCCAAGTGGGCATATGAAGAAGGTCTCAAACCCTTGTCTCCCAACACCACTCTACCTTGTGTTCTTTCCAGGATGGTGGTAAGGTTCCCATGGGAGAGAGGATGCAAATTGCTATAGAGGGGTCAGCTGTCACTCATTCCACCAGGAGGCCCCTGCCTGCCTACAACTGTCTTTCCTGACACAAACCACTTCCACACAGGTACCATGGTGGAATGAGGAGAACTCTATCTGCATATATAAAGAATGTTCTAGGGGGTACAAGCCCACAGATTTTTCTGTAGGTTGGTAGATTGTTGGCTGGTTTTTGGGACCTTGGAAACCTGAGTTCTGGTCCCAGCCATTCCATCGACTTGCTGTGTCACCCTGAGGAAGTTCCTCTCCATCTCTGGGCCTCAGTCTCCCCATTGGTAAAAGGAAGAGGTTGGGTTTAGCATCTCAGGCAGGGCCACAGAGTGAGAACTGTTAGCCAAGTGAGGAAGAAAGGCTCATCAGAAGACAAGAGGGAGGAGTTAGATGACCCGGATTCGAATCTCAGCTCTGCCACTGGCTTGCCAGGTCCCTTCCCTTCCCTTCCCTTTCATTTTATTTTCCTCAGCTGTGAAATGAAGAGGTTGGGAGGCAGAGGGTGAAGTATGCTAGGGACCAATACAGAACTCACTCAACCCCGAGCAGAACCTAGGGCCACTCATACTGTTGCTGTGGGCTCTTGTTCAGTAGTGTCTGACTCTCCTTGACCCCATCTGGGGTTTTCTTGGCACAGATACTGGAGTGATCTGCCGTTTTCTTTCTCCAGCTCATTTTTACAGATGAGGAAACGCAGGTAAACTGGGCTGAGTGACTTTTCCAGAATCACACAGCTAGTAGGTGTCTGAGGCTAGATTTGAACCAAGGGACTCCAGGCCCAGGGCTCTATCCACTGCTCCCACTCATACTGTGGGGAGCCACAAAATGGCCCAGGCCATGGCCAGGAGCCGACTACCTGAAGGTCAGGAACAACCCCAGAGGCTCCAGGGTCTTCCTGAGGTGCTTCAGAGGCTCCGCCTGCCACCTCCAGGACTGAGCCGAGAGAGCAGGAAGCAGGTCAGTGAGAGGCTTCTGGATCCAAGAGGACCTTCCTGGAATCATGAAGAAACTTCTCTTGCCATCTTCTGCGAAGATTTGGAGCGGGAGTTTGTTTCCCTGGTCGCAGAAAGGTCAGGAACGCGGGCCAAGTAGGAGGGCACGCCCACATCAGTGCTCCGGGCCCCCTCCCGCTGGTCAGTCCCCCCTGAGCTGACCCAGAGCCCTGGGCTTGGAGGGGGGCGTCCCAGCCCTGTCGATGCAGACATCACGTCATCATCTCACAGAGCTGGAGAGAATCTCCCGTAGGGGCATGTAGTCCAGACCATCACTGAACAAAGCCCTCCTTCCAACATATCTCAACAAGTGCCTTGGCTTCCTCAGGAGGGCCTTGGATGTCCTTAGCTCATCCTGAGTTCTCTCTTTCTAAAGATTCCATAGATATCACCTGTTTGTATGTAATTTCTGATTATCACCTCTGTCCCCGCCTTGAGAATTGAAGCCTCCCTAGTAACAGAGAGAAAACAAGTTATTGGCTCATTGATCTAGATGTGGAAGGGACCTTGGTGAGCATCTGGTCTAAATCCCTCATTTTGGAGATAGGGAAACTAAGTCACAGGGAATTGAAATGACTCCCCTAAGGTCACATGGATAACACACGAAGAAGCCAAAATTCAAACCTACTTTGAAATCTTTCTAGCATTCTTTCCAGTCTTCTGCACTGCCTCCTGGTTAAGCAAAAACAAATGGCCCTGTATACCACACTCTGCTCCTGTGGTCCCCCACCTCTCTGCTAAAAGGAAGGAGGTATGTCTCATCTCTTTTCTAGGGTCAAAGTAATTTTTTTTTCAGTTCTCAGAGTTCAGCTCCCTTTTGGTGACCTTTTCATTTACATTGTTGAAATCACTGGGTATATTGTTTTTCTCACTCATTTCATGCCATCCCATATCAGTTCATATGGAAATGGAGTTTCCCTGAATTCCTCATAGTCATTATTTCTTGCTGACAGAAGGACTGGGGCTGAATGATTTGCTTACTCAATACTATTTCATTATTTTTACATGCCACAGTTTGCTTAGCCACTCCTCAGGTGTTGGGGAAGAAAATCCAGCTCACTTCCAGTTCTTTGCCTTGAATATTTTGGTATATATTGGTCTGTCTATCATTGACCTTCTTGGCATTTATGTCCAGTAGTTGGGATGGTGGGGTTAAAGGTTCCAAGAATATAGTCACTTTTCTTGAATAATTCAAAATTGATTTCTAGAATGATTGGACCAATTTGTAGCTTCACCAATAATGTACGAGCGTGTTCATCCTCCCCAAACCCTTTTGACAATGACTATTTTGTGAGTTGGCTTTTTTTTTGTTGGTTATTTTTATTGATTTGTTCAGGATATAGCAAAATCTTGGAATTGTCTTCATTTGTATTTCTCTTTTTTTCTGTGGCTTGGAAAAGGGTCATTGATAGTTTGACTTTTTTTTTTCTCTTATACATATCATTAAAATACTTCTCTACTGGGAATAGTTCTGGTTCTACATATTTGTTTAATTCCTTGTAGAATCTGGATATCAGACTTCTGTCAGACAGTGATATCTGATGCAAAGATTTTTTTCCCACACTGGGTGATTTTTCCCATTTTATCTTCATTGATTTTGTTCACGTAAAAACTTTAAAATTTTACATAATAAAGATTATCTCTTGGTTTCTATGGTCACTTGTTTCTTGTGTTTGGTTAAGAATTCACCTCCAACTTGTGAAAAATCTCCCTCTCCTTCATTCCTCTCTCTTTTCAGTGGACCTTTTATGTTTGCATTGAGTGTCTGGAGCACACTGTAGTACATGGTGTAAGATGCTGGTACACCTTTAATTTCCAGCAAACAGTAAGTAGTTCCTGTCCTGACACCGTTCTTACAAGACTATAGGAAGCTTTTCTTTCTTTTCATCCTCCATTACCTGCCTTTGCTTCAATTGTTTTAAACTCTAAGGTGGCCAATGAATTTCTCCTTGTGTTTTCACTTTGGTCCCATGAAACAAGCCCCCCTCTTTCCCACCACAATATTGTTGTTGTTTTTATCGTTGCTGTTTTGGTTAGCTCCATCTTTTGAAGGATAAAGCTGTCTTTAAGGCAAGGCAAAAAATTATAAGCTGCTCTGCTTTGAGGAAAGAGAAAGACAGATAGAGAAAACAGAGACAAAGAGAGACAGGGACAGATAGACAGACACAGAGCAGCATGCCAGCAGATGTCTGGATAATTAAAGCCCATCATTACAATTATGCCTCTGTCCCAGACTTGGGCTCTGTTCCCCATCTCTATATCTATTTCCCCTTTCTGACTCAGAGGTCTATAGTCTACTCTGCTGATGATGTTACTTCTGTTTTTGCTCCACTGACCTTCACCCAGATATGTCTTTCTAATTCCTAGATTTCCTTACATGAGTATTTTTTCTTTAAAATTTTTTTAATTGATCTTTTATTTTTACATCAATTGTGTTTCCCAATGTGTCCCCGCCCCCAACAGCCATTCCTTATAATGAAGCATAAAAAAGAAGGAAAAGGAAACAAGTTAGCAAAACTAATCTAGATACCCCCAAAGACCCAATGTTCCATGCAGTTTTGCACATCCATAGTCTTGCACCTCTGGAGAGAAAGCCTTACAGTGAGTTGGATTGATTCCAGTCTGTGCCCGTCAGAAGCTCCGCCGGCTCTTTCCTGGGATCTGATGCTCTGTCCTCGGATTCCCTCCTCAGAGAATGATTCCCTTTAGCGCATTGTCTGGCAGACCCTGGAGACTTCTCAGGTGAGTCCCCACCCCAAGCTTCAGAGAAGTTGCCTTCTGGGAAGGGACCAGGATGCAGCTTTTCCAAGAACTCTGCCGGAAGGAAGCCCTAAGCCTCCCTCAGAAAATGAAATCAGTTCATCTCCCAATGCCTTTTCTGGGTCTGCTGCCAACTCTGCCAGGTCTCCTCTTTCTGGGTGGGTGGGTTCTCTGTGCATGGCGCCAGCCTACCAGTTGACTGAATCTGCTCTCTCCAACGTTAACGATGGCCTCTTCATAGCTCTTTCATGTGGCCTTTTCTCATCACTCCCCCACCCCAACCTCTCTGCAGGTTTTTTTTTTCAATTCTGTTGACCACTTGGGCATTTTCTCCATCCTTGGGTTCCATGACAATGTTATTTCCTGGTCATCCTCCTACCTGTCTGACTACTCCTCATTCTTCTTTGCTGGATCATCTTGTAAGCAGGGGACACCCCCCCCCCAACTGCAATGCTTTGTCTCAGGCTTTCTTCCCTTCTGCCTCGGTGACCTCCTTAGCTGTCATGCTTTAGGTTTCAGTGGAAAGCAACGTGTGAGTCCTCTGAAATGTCAGACACAAAGCTAATAGGTCTCACGGTGCTGGAGTAAGGAAGGGGGAGTGCCTCTGTCCTCTGTCCTGCTTAGCCCACATCTTGTGTTCAGTTCTGGGTGCTGTGTTTTAGGAAAGGCATCACTCAGATGGAGAGCATTCAGAGGAAGGTGACCTGGGCACTGAAGGGCGCCTCATGTTCCTGCTTTATGAGAATCAGCAGAAGGAACTGGGAACATTTAGCCTGGAGAGGAAAAGACTCAGGGGAGAGATGAAGGGCACAGGCATGATCGCTGTCATGGGCAAGAAGGTTTAGTCGTGTTCTGCTTTGCCCCAGAGGACAGAAAGCCGGGAGCCGTGGGATAGGGGGAGTTGTCCAGAGGAAAGTGTTGGCTCTGTGTAATGCCAATGATAGAGTTATCCCAGAATGGAATGGACTGCCTTGGGAGGTAGTGAGTGATCCATTATGGGTCTTGGGTCAGAAGCTGGATAACCACTTGATAGAGATGCTGGAAAAGGGGTTCTCACTTAGGTGGGGGTGGGACTCAGGGCCTCTGAGGCCCCTCTGAGATCTGAGGTTCTGTGATTCTCTGAAGTACTAACAAGTGCTGAGGCCCTGGCTCCCCAGACCCCTAACAGAGACATTGGAAATGGAGCACACCCAAAAAATCACAGGGGGGTGGATATGAAACTGAGGCCAGACCTCTTGCCCACTGGCTGGAAACCACCACCTAAGTGGGTCATCTTTGCTACCCTCCTGGCCTTGGCCGCAGGGGCTGACTGAGGGAGCCTGGGGATAGACCTGCAAAAGCAGCCCTCAGGAGGAAGAGTGCTGGGGGCAGCCTTCTCTCTCCTCTCACAGTCTTTGCCTGGGAGAGGGAAGAAACTGAATGAGGGCATCTCTACCAACCTTGTGGGGGGACCCAGTGCAGGGCTGGGGAGGCCACCCGTGGCACATACCCACAGCCCAAACACCCACACACTCACCCCCCAAAATTTACTGGAACCCACACGTCTCACACGCACAATGCACTTGCACACACCCTCTCGCTCACACACACTCTAATACATTTGTACACACTCTTACAGGTGCACTTACAAATACACTCATAGTGCCACTTCCCCACTCACAATCTTTCTCACACACACATTCACACATGCACACTTCCCCAAACTGGATCATCACATCCCTTTCTTTCATCTTCAATCTCTCCCTTTCTACTGACTCCTTCAGAATAATTTTCTGCATTCCCTGCCTCCACTTCCCTAATACCCACTGCTACCATCTCATGACTTTCTCTGATTTTGACCCCATCACTATTCTGACACCACTCTCTTCAAGAAGACCGGTCTCTTACCTGCTAGCATGGATCCGATGCTCTTTTTTCTTCCTTTACATCAATCCGTGGAAGTCCTCCCAGGTTTTTCTCAAACCATCCCCTTGGCATTTCCTATAACACAGTAGCAGTCCGTCACAGTCATCTGCCATGACTCGTTCACCCATTTCCTGACTGATGGGCACCCCCTCAGTAGCCAATTCTTTGACACCCCAAAAAGAGCTGCTATAAATATTTTGATACATGTGGGTCTTTTTCCTTCTTCTTTGATCTCTTCAGGGTACGGACCTAAAAGTGGTCTTCCTGTGGTCAACTAACACTTGTTAAGCATCTACTATGTGTCAGGTACTATGACGAGTGCTGCTTAATTGAAGTAGGCTGTCCCATGTGCAAAGATGGCTGGCGTATGAAAAGATGAGAAAGAAATGTCCTCCAGGAGTTGTAAGGTCAGAAACAGGGACAGATCTGTCATGAAAGGACAGTGGGGAATGATGGGCTGAGAACCCGTGGACTGCCCTACTGCCCCCCAGCAGATGTCGCAAAGCATTGAGTAGGGGCTCTGTGGATAGAGCTCAGGAAGTCCCTGAATCTGGATGGGCAAAAAAATCTTAATTTCCATATGATTTCTTTCCCTTATGATGCAGTGTTTTATGCATTTAAGAACATGCTTCTGAGAAGGGTCAGAAGCTTTCCCAGACTTCACTTCCAAAGGGGGTCATGATCCCCACACAAAAGGCTAAGAACCCTTACCCTAGAGGAAGGAAGGCTTCTAGTTCATTAAGGAGACTCTCCATGGGGAATTTATGGGTGGGAGCATAGGATCCTAGGTCGAGATGTGGAAGGGCCCCTGAAGATCCTAAGCTCTTTACAGAGAAGCCGACTGAGGCTCAGAGCCCTGAAGGAATTTGCTCAAAACACACAGGCAGTGGGTGGTAGAGCTGGGATTTGAATCCAGATGCTCTGGGCTCTAAATCCACAGCTCTTTCTGCTACGCTGTAAGGGCTGTACCAGATGAGAAGGCTAGGATGGGTTGTGAACCCATATCAGTGAGAGACATCATGAATCCACCAAAGGTTTAAAGCATAAATAATCGTTTTACGCTTGGACTCCCCAAGTACCTGACATGGGAGAGCAGCCAGGAAGCAGTTTCCCTGAAAAAGACCTGTTGGTTTTCATGGATTGCAAGGTCACCGTGAGTCAGCAGCTTGGTGTGGCAGTGAGCCAAGCTTCACTGAGAGAGGCCGAGTGACTGGTGACCTGGCCCGAGGATATCTGGGGTCATGTGTCCAGTTCTGGGAATGACGTTAGTGAGGGGCCTGGAAACGGTGCCCAGCGAGGATTGATCAAAGGGACCGGAGATATTGGATAGGAAAAGGGGATCTTCAGGGCTGTCAGAGTGGCCCTCAAGGATTCGAAGAACGGCCATATGGAAGAAGTATCAGCCTTGCCTACTTGGCCCCAGAGAGCAGAGTTGGCGGTGGGGAGGCGGGTGAAGTTTGATCAGATTTAGGTTTGACTGAGTGAACTTCCTAACAATCAGAGTGGCCCAGAACTGGATCTGGCTGCCTCTGGATGTGGCAGGGTCCCCATCCTTGGAGCCTTCGAGCAGAGGCTGAGGGACTTCACTGTTAGGGAAACGATAGTGAGGATTTTTTGCTCAAGTATCAGTCTGCCCAGGTGCCTCAGAAGTCCCTGCCAGCTCCAAGATTCTATCATTCAGGGGACCCACACAAAACCAGGACAACTCATGTATCTCTGGCTTCCTTCTCCATTAGATGACAAGATTCTTGGGAGCAGGGCCTGACCCCAGCACATAGCAAGAGTCCTTGTACACAGTCAGTCAGCTAGTCAAGCACTGATTAAGGCAGGCTGAGTTCTGGGGTTACAAAGAAAGGCAAAAAAAAAAAAAGAGTCATTGCCCTCAAGAAGCTCACAGTCTAATGAAAGCCAGTGAAAAAGCTGGAAGTCAGGAGATTGAGCACCATGTGTGAGGAGCAGCCAGAAGGCCAGTGATGTTGGAAAAGGGACTGAATGAAGGAGAGCGCTGTACAAGAAGGCGACCATGGAGGGCTTTGAATGACAAGCAGAGGACTTGATAAGGTGATAGCGACCCATCGAAGCTTACGAATAGAAGAGTCACACTGTCAGATTTTTTGTTTAGGAAAATCACTGTGGTGGCTGAATAGAGGATGGACTACAGTGGGGAGAGATGAGGCTGGCAGAGCCACCATCAGCTACAGGTGTGAGGGGATGAAAGCCTGCACCAGGGGGTTGACAGTGTCAGAGGAGGGAAGGGGGTGCATTGAAAGGTGCTGCTGAGGGGATGTCAACAGGCCTTGGCATCCGATTGGATATGGGGGGAGGAGGCGGTGAGAGATAATGAGGAAGCCAGGACAACTCCAAAGATGGGAGCCTGAGGGGTTGGGAGGATGATGTCACCCTCTGCAGTAATAAGGAAGATAGGAAGAGGGAAGGGGTTAGGGGAAAGATCACGAGTTCTGTTTTGGGCATGTTGAGTTCCATTCTACTAGAGAGGTCCAAGATAATTCAGACCTAGAGCTCAGGGGATAGAGTAGGACTAGATATATAGATCTGAGAATAATCTGCATAGAGGTGATCATTGAGCCCATGAACGCTGACGGGATGATTGAGGGAGACAGTATGGAGGGAGAAGAGAAGATGAAGCTGCAGCAGCCAGGGCAGGCTTTGTGTAAGACAAAGAGGAGGGGGAGGATCTCAACTGGGCCTGGAAGGAGGAGTATAACTCAGGGGTAGAGGGGTGAGGTGAGGGCTGTCCCATCCTGGGCAGCAGAGGGCATGACTGAAAGAAGTGAGGCAGGAGGGGTTCTGGGGCTGAGGGCTTTACTCACCATCCCTGGAAGTCAGGGGGGCCACTAGGAGGGACTTAGGAGGGAAGTCAGACTGTACCCCAGCTCCCAGAGGCCAGTGATGCCTTGGCCCAGACTGAAATCCCAGTGCAAGATCAGACAAAAAGTTGCGGTTGCCGAGAGGGGCAGGGACCAAGTGCAAGGCTGGGAACGGATCCCGGAGCCCACTGATGGGGGGGGCGGGGAAGCCCAGAGAGTCCAGGAATCCTGCTGAAGAGATTTCTGGCTACTGTGAGTTTCTGGCAGCCGATCCCAGACCTCTGCTCCCTCCACCTCTGGTTCTCAGAAAGGGCTGAGGGAAGCCAGGCAATCACTGTAGGCCAGGAACACGTGAGGGGCAGGAGGATGGGGCCGCAATCCAAGCCCCATTGAACACCTGGGAAGCGGCTGCTTTCATGGCCCCAGCCACTGGCCTGGATTAGGTGCAGTCCTTCTCCCCTCGTGTCTGAGCCATGATCTGACGGGTGGTGAAACGGGCCCGGAGAGGGGCTGGCACCATTCTTGAGTCACACAGTGGGTCAATGGCCAAACCACGGCAGGTCCCGACACCCAAGGCCCAGGCTTCCTTTCCTGATGCGCCTTGGACCTCGGTCTCCCCGTTTGTACCAGAAGGGGATTGGCCTTGGTGGTCTCTATCAGTCTACCCACCAATCAAGCATTTATTAAGTGCCTTATTATGTGCTCTGGACTGAGCTAGACACCAAGATTACAAAGAGAAGAAAACAGCCATTCCTGCGCTTGAGAAACTCACAACACAAAAGGGGGGCATCGCTATAATAGTGAAAACACGCATTTTATGGTGTTAACTTTTAGACGCACCCAGAGGAAAAACCCAAAGTTTATTTAGTTCAATAGAAGGTCAGTTGGGAGGGAGACCCCATCGGCCAGAGCATCCCGGAAGGCTCTCTCAGAAGGTGATGCTATGCTTGAGCAGGAGAGAGATTGCCTCTGTGGGGCAGAGGGGAGGGAGGTGGTCCTCCAGGCATGGAGCCCAGGGGGGACAAAGGCAGGGCTTTTCTCCCAACCCCAATGGGTTGTAGGCCCTCAGTCTCATCGGTGTGGATACTCCCTCTGCAAGAGCAGATTGCGACCCATTCCGGCCTTTCCATCCTGGGCCCTCTTTGTCCAAGTAGATGACCTCGCTGACAAAGAACTCCCCACCTTTCTTCTTCCAGCTCAGCCTAGGAAAGCGGACTAGTAACTTCAGTTTCTCCCGCCGCTGAGCTGAAATCTCCCTCCCCGTGAAGAAGTTTTCTTTGCTTTAACCAGGGCTGGGCTGGGGCAAGAGGCCCCAGGGAGGGTGGAGGGGGACAGGGCAGCAGCCCCTCCGCGACAGTGCCCAAAGTGCCCAGGAGGAGGAAGAGCCCCTCCCCTCGCTCAGGTCTCTTCCAGGAAACTGCTGGGCCAGAAACTGTGGGCCATTGTCTGCCCAATACCTGGGGGCAGGAGGGGAGGGGGTGTCAGGCTAGGCCAAGGGAGGACCAGGAGGAGAAGGAGAACCTTTTCTTCTTTAGGACCTCTGCCCAATCATCTCTCTGGTTCACCCTCAGCCAGGTCAGTCAGAAAACCAATAAGGTCCCTGAGGCAGGGAACCAGAAGAAACCAGCTGTGGAGTCGACACATTTCATGGCCTACAACATTTTCCCTACAAAAACAACCCAGTGGTGCAGGAAGCAGGCCATTTTACAGCAGAGGAAACTGAGGCTTAGACTGTTTCAAGGTCACACGAAGATTGAACCATTGCCTCTTTATCCCAATCCGACCCATTGAGCCACACAGCTATACAAAGGCCAGTTAGGACCTGGGGGACCGGGAAAGAGAACTGGGGAGGGTCAAGGAAGCGTGAGAGCTCCCCTTGAGCCTTGTGATCCTCGGGGCCCTGAAGAGAAGAAGGAGAAGAGATGGAGGGGAGGGAGCAGGGAGGTCCAGGGAGGCAGATCTGGGCTAGAGAAGAGGAAGACCTTTCTGGTCAGAGTTGGAGAAAGCTGGGCCAAGCCCCTCGCCCTCCCCACCTTGGGAGGCTATGATCACAGGGTCCCCGGAGCCCCCGATGAGCCACAGGCTCAGCTTCTGATGGGCGTGATCTGATTTCAGCCTCTCAACCACAGGCACGGTGGCCGTGAGGGGAGCACCATAATTCTGATCTCCATTTTACAGATGAGGAAACTGAGGCTTGGAGAGGAAAAGGAAGGCACTTGACCAAGGTCACACAAAATCAGAGATGGCGTTTGAGCTCAGGTTTTTCTGAGTCCGGGTCCAGGGCTCTGACCACTGAACCACAATGGTTCTCATTATCTCCGTGAGGCTCACGCTCAGTAATAGTTATACAAAGGTACGGATTGATTAAGTAAATCAACCAAGTCACCCCACCTCGCTTAAAATAAAGAAATAGCTAGTATGGCGTGTGTGTGTGTGTGTGTGTGTGTATATGTATATAGGTGTGTATGTATGTATATATACACACAGACATGTACATATTTATGTCTTATACATTATATGTATACATGCACACATTATTTTATATATGTGTATATATATATATATCCCTTAAGGTTTGCAGAACACTTGACACCTTTCGCCTCATTTGATAAATGCTAATATGCTAAGCCCTGGCACGTTTCTCAGAGGAGAACAAAACTCCTTTGTTCACCATTTATAGCAGCTCTTTTCATTGTTGTTCGACCTTCATTCTGGAAAGAACTAGCCGTGACATCAGGGAGGTGATGCTGTGACATGCAGGCCAACTGGATTTAAGTGAGGCAGGGCTGCGCAGAGTCACCAGCCTCATGTTCTCCTCCGGAGCCATCTGGGTCCAGTGGGCCAGGTGTGGATCAGGACGACTGGAGATGGCCCAGGATGCAGTGAGGGACCTTGGTCTTTTTAAGCTACAGTCTTTAACAAGTCTCAGCTTGACTGAGGCGATAAGGCTAGGTAAGAAACTAGGCAGAGAATGGCCTCTTTGACCTAGTGTAAAAAAAAATCAATCTGGGAGACGAAGACGCCCAGGGTTTCTGGCCAAAACAGAAACAATTGTTATTTACATTCACTCTGAGCCAATCACTAGGTGTAAACAAGGCCTGGAAACCTCCCAAAGTATTTCTATTGGTCAGATTGGGATTGGGAGGGATTTGGGGTTTCCCTTTGAGGCCTGTACCCACAGAGCAAGTTGATTGGGGATTGTGAGAGAGAAGAGAGACCTATTCCTGAAGAGGAATCCTTGGGGAGCGGGGAGCGCCCCCCCCCCGTTGCCACACTGGGCTCTCTAGCTCGGGATTCCTTCCCCCGGATATACTGAGGGAAGAGGATGGCACACGCCTTTGGGGGATGTTTTTGTGCCAACTATAGATATATACTATTTACACCATAGTAAATAGACATTAAAAAAATTTTTTTTTCAATTACATGTGAAAAAATTAACATTTGAGTTGCTCCTTGAGAAAGTAAGCAATCTGATATGGATAATACATGTAAATAGACCTTTCTAAAAGCTAATTAAGCCTGGCTAACTAAATGATAGTAACTAATAATCACAGGGGAAATCCTCCCCCCCCCACTGTGGACTGTGAGCTTCACAGAATTAGCCTGACCCCTCTGAGCTGCCCCCACTAGGGAGGGAGCCAGCCTGCCAGAGGAGGATGAATTCCCCCTCACCCCAGAATCTCTACAAGTTACAGGCTAGATCGGTTTGGGGGGTTAGACCCTCAGTCTAACATCTTACTTCTCCAACTTCAAAGCCCTGTAGAAAAACGGAGCTACTATTTTTTATGATTTCCATTCAGTAAGTCAGACCTCATCCTGGTGGACGCTCTAGGACCCGGCTTCCCTCCCTGCCCTGGGGAAGCTTCAATTGTAGCCTAGAAGGGCAGAACTGGCAGGACCTTGGAGATAATCTCCTAACTGAAGGTAGTAATAATAATTGTAATAGGTAGCATGCATATAGCACCTACCATGTGTTAGGCGCTGGGTTAAAAGCTTCACAAATATCATCTCACTTAATCTTCATGACAACTCTGGAGGGTACTAGGGCTCTTCTTAGCCCCATTTTATAGATGAATAAATTAAAGCAGACAGAGGCTAAGTGATGTTTTAAAATATAGTTACAGAGGGGCAGCTAGGTGGCACCGTGGATAGAGCTCTGCCCTTGGAATCAGGAGAACCTGAGTTCAAATGTGACCTCAAACACTTGACACTTACTAGCTGTGTGACCCTGGGCAAGTCCCTTAACTCCAATTGCCTTGCCAAAAGAAAAAAAAAAAAGAAAATATAGCTACAGAATGCCAGAGCCAGAAAGAATGTTAGAGACCATCTTGGGCAACTCCCTCATTTTCCAAATAAGGAAACAGAGGCCCGGGGAGTGATTCAGCCAAGGCTGTACATTAAGGACTGAAACTCAAGGCTCCTGACTCCCTCAGGCCAAGAGGAGTCCCAGGGTGAAAAGGCTGGAAGAGATGAATTCAAATCCTGACTATCCAACACAGGTGATGACTCAGACAAATCACTTTCATGTCCTCCAGCCTCAGTTTCCTCATCTGTAAAATGAGTAGCTGCGCCCAGACGGGCTCTGAGTTTCCTTCCAGCACCAGGTGGAGGATCCCTGGTACCTGGAACAGAGGGCTGCGTCTCCACAATTCCAAGGAAGCTTTCCTAAGGTGATACTGACTGAGACGGTCTGGCCCAGCAAGGACAGGAGAAAAGGGGCAGGCAGGCCACTGCCCACGAGAGCAGGATGGGCCCCAGATCAGAAAGCTGCCCAGGGCCGGGCTGGGTTCAGGGCATCAGGCCCTCTGGAGCCAGACTCTGGCAGCCCTAGAAAAGACTTCTCCACCCCCTGGATTCCTCCCATCAGCTGGTATAAATGGAAACTGGGGCCTGGCTAATTACACGGTGCATAGCGTGCCTCAGAGAGTAATTACAGGGCTGGGGAGCCCTGTGGTTAGGGCTGAGAGCCTCCTCTCCATGTTTGCAGGCCAGGTGGGTCACTGCGGAAGACGGAAAGCATGATGAAGTCGTTGCTGTGATCAACCCCAGCGCGGCCGGGGCCTTCTAAGTAACTTTGACGTGCCTCGTCTCTCTATCCTCACAGCCACCCTGTGAGGTCAGTGTTATTGTTCCTGTCCCCGTTTTATAGACCAGGAGACTGAGGCTCTGAGACATGACCAGAGTCAGTTGTTCGAGGCGGGACTTAAGCGCGAGTCACTCCCTGGCTGCAAACCTCCTTCCAACGTCCGGAAGATTCTCATGGAAAGTTCCCCCTTCA